ACCGGAGCCAACATCCAGAAAAAGCTATAGAGATTGGAGGGGTGAGCAGCACAAGACCAGTCATTACAGGGAAACACAGCAGGAATGTAAAATGCTAATACTCTCCATCATCACACAAGCCTGCTGCTATCCAAATGCTAAAAAGCCCCTTACATTGCCAGCACTGTCGCCTCTGAAATACTCCCACTAGTACCACACCTCCAAAACGTATTCCTGGGCCTGTTATGAGTAGAAAATACACCTTACGGCTCTTCATAACAGTTACTTCAAGGGTGGACGTACTTACTGCTCATTCGTTGAAAGAAAAGAAAGAAAAGACACATTAGTAACCATGGGCTGGAGAGAGCAAGGAGTGGGAGAGTGTAGGAAGAAATAAAAACAGACGTGGGAAGGAGAAAAAACTGTAATTCAAGACTGCTCTTGTCCCTAATGCTATTTTCTCAGCACCATTAACAGCATGAGAACAGCAACAGGGCTGACCAGTTCAATCTTCCAATAAGAACTGATGGGAACACAAACATTGTTAGCGTTAACTACTTTGTTATCGTGGCTCACACACAGGCCACCGAGGCATCAATATAACCTGTTATCCACTAACCGAAGCACCGAGCTGTTATTAATTATATTTTTTGCTAACTGTCAGCAAATATGAGCCGTACTGAACAACATGTTCCATAAATATAGCCTGAATCCCTGCCTGCATCTCTTTTTCACAGAGTGTGTCTGATGTTCTGTGCTTGAAATGAAAAACAAACAGGATGAGATTGACTTTGCTGATCAACTAGAGAGAGTAATAACTACGGAACAGTTATTCTGGCTTGACTTTTGCAAAACTACAACAATTTTCTGTTCAGAAGAAATTCTAAAATCGATTTAGTGTTTTGTGAGCAAAAACGTAGGAAAGGAATGTAGGAAATTGTAAATGCAGCTCTAGCAGCTAGAAAAATGTCAAAAATGTGAATTCTACAGTTACTTTGTAATTAAGATTCTTTTCTTTTACTGGATTTGAGAATAATACATTTTTACTTCATACAGCCTGAAATCAGAGACTGTATATGAAAGATGGACGTGGCCACCATGACATCACACGTTGGTCTTGGAGTTGGCCTCAAGTGGCCATTACAGGAACTGCAGTTTCTGGCACTTCCAGTTTAATGTCTGACAATATTTTCACGGATCAGCCATTAAGGTGTGGCGGATAAATACAAGAGAATAAAATGATACGACCAAGACAAAAATTGTGGTATTTTGTAAATATAATAATAAACGCAAATTCACTGTGTAATTGTGTAACTTTATTAGAGCGTCCTCCTGAAATGCACCAACAACATTGAGAGTAACATCCTCCTCTCTGCCTCTTAATGCTCTCTGGTCGCTATGGTAATGTTTCTTTCAAAATAAGACACACAACTACAACATGGGAAAAGACCCAGTTAACGATAAACCCCCTGAAAACCATAAATTTCACACCTGAGCCTCGACTCTCACGGCCCGGTACCCAAAGACTCACGGACCAGTACCGGTCCATGGCCCGGGGGTTGGGGACCACTGTTTTAGCTCAAAGTTTTAAGTCAAACTACCGTAACTCTTGAACCCCCAACAATTGATTGTGTTTATCTGGATGTAGCGTTTTCAGTGGGAGAAACGTTTCATCACTCAGATGCCTGACGTAATGTGACCTCAGTCTTGACGTCTTTGATCAAGACTACGTTCAGATGAACAGAATCAACGTTTTGGGATTTCCTTACCCGGATGATTGAGCAACTCTTGAACCAATATCGCAATCGCACAATTCCAAAGGTTCCTGAAAGCAGCAACTCTGTGCTTTTCAGAGATATTAGGGTCTTGAGGACACCTACACAAAAACTCAGTTCGCAGTTGGAAATTTTTCATGGAACACCCCCTCAACTTGGATTTCCTACTCAGAAAGTTGGAGCCGTCCAACATAGCTAGAGTTAGCAATCCAAGATAGCAGCAATGAATATGAACACTAAAAAAACTAAACTTTTAACCTCCACTGCCACTGCTGTGCATTTTTGACTCACTAAATACCAGACCAGTCTCTATCAGTTGCTAAAAAACACAACAGCAAGGCCAAAATTTGGTGACTTTAAAGGCTTCGTTTGAACTAATTTTGCAGCTGGAAGACATTTAAATGAAAATATGCATCATAACTGAAGGTGTAGTTACTTTAGAGTTTTTGTTAAGAGATAAGATCGACCTTCACATGCAGTTACAGATTCAACAAAGCAGACAGATGGTATTTATCAGGATATCGTCTATGTCTTTATTTATTTATGTGCAGCAGGTACATCATGATTGTTTGTGGTTTTTGAAATATTTTATTAATATTTTCAATAAAACGTACATGTATTGAAAACATTTAGAAGATATTGTTTCCTACTACTTGGTGATAAGAGGAAGAATAAAAAGTTGGGCTTATTTATCACCTTACATTTCTATTTTTCCACATTTTAGAAGTAAATATCCAGTGTGTTAATTCCACTGTTTTATTTTACAGATTTGGATAATCAATATATAATACTATCATCAAATTCACCTGACAACAGTAGCTAAAATTAGAATTAAGGAACCAATAGTCACAATAACACACCACTCTGCAGGTTATTTATTTATTTATTGTCATTTTAATGCTACTTATGTTTAGGACATCCTGGATGCTCCTCTGCTGTCTCTCTTCAGCAGGTATGTCTTTTAAAGCTTTAGAACTTTTTTCATACTGCTGGTTAAAGAAAATAAATCCAAACAGTAAAACAAAATTGTCCTTTAGTTTGAATTTAAAGGGCAGGTTGTTCCATATACTGTGCTGCATATAGTTGAAGTCTGTATTGATCTGCAAAAAATAGTCCCCAACAAATACTTTATTTATGTTTCCTATAGTAAAGTCTGCAGAAAAGTGCTGTTGCAGGAAATTACTGAGCCCTTTTTTTTTTAGTATTTTTGAACTTGGGGCTTGCACACCGTGGTGCAGACTGCATAGAAAGTTCTGGAAATCCTGGAAATCCTTGTCTTTATACTATAATTAGCCCTTTGCCCTTGTAAGGGCATTCAGCAGCTTCTAATACCTGAAATAAAGTGATATAAAATTATGGGGCTGCAGGGTAACATACACCAGCAGCTCCAGCCTCCTCAGAGAGACGCACTGACTAACAGTCCTGCACACATGATGGAGTAGCTGTGCGTTTATGTGCGTTTTACTCCTCCTGGAAACCAGGAAAGATGGGAAGAATAGTCTTTTTCTACCCCCACCATCCACTCCCTAAAACCCAGAAGCTGGGTCTAGACTGAGCCCCACACAGGGGATTTATAAACTGCAACAAATGAAGACAAAATGCTTCCAGCTGCCCTTAGTGGAAGGATTGGATCTGCTCTTGGGACTTTACAGAGGGACGTTTGACAGGGTCTCTGACTGGTCACACAGCTTTGTCCTTTCTGAACAGCAGAGCAGACGACATTATTTTTCTGCAGCGTAATTTATCAGGAGCGAAGAAATTTCTGCAAATTCTGCAGATATTAAAATGCAGTCTCACAGCAGCATGCATGTGACACAGCTGAAAGCTTTTCTAATCTATTTGTTCTTGTGTGTACTGATATGTGTTCATGCTCATAATATTTTGAAGGGTGACAAAATTCCACATTTGGATTGGTTGATGATGGCGTGAATCCATCACATCAAAGACTTCTGCACTTCAGTTGTAATTTTTTGATTTGAAAAACACTTGCCACTTTTTTTTAAAGCTTACTTGGTTGCCACAGTAACGCCTCCCCGCAGTGTCTGGATAACATACATGCTGCAGGCATGAAATATACTTCCTACTGAAGTACAGCGAGCAGCTAGAATCCTCCATCAGACAAGGATGGGACGACCTTCCTCTCCCAAACGTCCAACAGCTGTTCTGCTCAGTTCCCAGATGTTTACAGGCTGTTGTTAAAAGCAGATGCTAGTGGTGGCAAACGTGGCCCTGTACCAGCTTTTTTGACACATGACCTAGTATTTTTCTTAAAATGGACCATGTTTACAGATTGAACAGGATTGGAGTTAGGCCTTGGTGCATGGTCTGATGGTGTTTCCACGTCCAAATCATTGGCAACACAATAACCTGATTGGTCACCTGCAATGTTGAACCTGGACCTACATTAGTTTTGATGATCCAGGAACAACACCAACATGGCGACATCACATCGTGCCACGAGTCTTCTTACACCTAGAGGAGTCGCCCCCTGCTGGCCATTAATAAAATGCGGGTTTAAGCACTTGTGCGTTTTCCTTTATGTCAGACCAGGAAGCTAGATTCATCTTTTATAGGATCTCCGTGCAGTACATAAAATGTATACACAGCCTACTGGACTGAGGCATTGTACTGTAAAGTGCAAGTTCTTACTCTATTGTAAAATTACATTTGTTTTTTTTACTGTAAAAGTGAAATTAAGAAAATCAGAATTTAAAACAATCTGAAATCTGTTTCAATGATTAATGATTGCACCATACAAACGTTGAGTAATCATTACGGGTTAAGCTGTTGCTGTTACATCTCAGTGTTTTTAGCTCTTTAAATCTTAGATCTGGGGGAATATTCATGGCTGGGCGGAAAGATGCATATCCAAACAAATCACCTCATCCTTTCATCTGCCTGAAATCGGGACCAAGGTGCATTCGCCTGCGTGTCTCCAGGTGCAGACCAACTTATCTGGAATCCTCTCACGTCCACACTCACCTTAGCTAAAACAGTGCAGCGCCAACTTTTCGTGCCAAGGGCAAAACTTGGCTGGAGCTGTGAATGGCACGCACAGATGCGTCAATGACACAGGTATCAGTGCGCTGTTGTGACCTTTCTCCGGCGGTTCCGTATCCTACAGGTCGATGTGCCAGTGATGCAGTGCCTCAACTTATGTGTGCACGCACACACACAGCAGGGCTGAGAGCTGCTCCGTATCCTGCACGAAGGTGAGACATAGCCGACAGGAAAGCGTCTACTCACCAGGAAACGTGCTCCGGAGCAGCTTCTTGTCTACCCGGTCCAGGAGATGATGAGACGCTGTTGCATCGCTGTCTGCGGCAGGCGGCACGCTGAGAGTGCCACTGCGGTCCACATTTATCCGCTCTGTGTGCGCGCGCTCGCGTGTGCGTGTGTGTGTCGCGTGAAGAGAAGAGAGGCTCGGTGTGTTTCACGTCAGGTGGAAACTGACGCGTTGCTGTGAAATGAGCATCTCCTCCTCGTCGGGATTTTTCTGTCAGACATCTCAACTCTTCCACTCTCTGCCTCTCTCTTCGTCTTTGCGAGGCAGCCTCCTCTCCTCTCCCTCCCCTTCAGGCTGGGCATGCCCAGTCTGTGCCTCTTCGTGAGCACCAACTTATGACTTGCAAGCTGTGGTGGAAGAAGAAGCACTTACATCCTAAAAGTGGCCAGTTCAAAAATAAATAACCCAGCGCAAATGCAGTTGTTTTTGTTTTTTTGTATTTGTAGAATACAAAATCTGAACTTTTTATGCAGCTTTAACAGTAGTACGGTGTGACTGGTAAAGTTACATTTTAAGTATATGACATCATTAATGGGGGAGTTACGCACATTCTCCAGCTCCATATTTGTATTTTTGAGTTCTGCTATAGAAGCTTTGCATGATTCACAGTTCATGATAATCCTTGTTTATCAAATACTCAGTTTTGAAGCAGCTCCTCAGTTCATCCTCCACCATTGAGACCACCTTGCCTTTAAGCCTGCTCTCTGATTGGTTGGTCCTTGAAAAAGGATTTCGTGGGTGGGACCTCTGAGATTACCATATTAGGGACATCCTCTCTTCATGACGTCACACAGAGCCAAAGACAGAAAAAAACCCTTTTGTGCACTTTTGGCTCACAGGCAATAGTTTTGCATACACTATTTTATAATTTTGTTAAGAGTCTTTAATAGTGCTTATTTTCTGTCATATCTGCACTGTTACAGAGGTGGATTCTTATTAAATATGGTCAAAATTTCAAATAAAGAGGACAGAGTTTGTATCTCTGTGAACCAAAGGCCAAGGCTTCATACAGTTTTCCTCTTCTGCTGTTGGTTAATATGGTTTTAACAGTAACGATAATATACTTGGCTTCCCTAATATATTTCTCTGGCACACAACTGTAAGCACAGACATTTCATCAACCTGTTGGTCAAACCTTTTGTTTTCTTTGAGATAACCACACATTAAAGGTTGGCTTAACTGCAGCTAAAATGTGTTTTTTTTTTTTTATTCAGCCCATCAGATAAAAGCTGCAGTTCCCCTAATGACCACTTCAGGCTGGCTGGGAATCAGTAACCACAGATGCCTAAATTAAAATGTCCAACTTTGCAGAATTTAAGTTTCAACCCTGGTGCAAAGAGACAGATTTTGCATTTATGGATAGTTTTGTCCTTCATTGCAACTGTCCCGTTGTTGTTGTTGTTGTTGTTGTTAATCGTTCACCTGTTGCTTGCTGACCAAACGTTTTCTTGCTCACTTATAATTTGCCACTCACCCATCTTGTCCAAAACAGTCACCTCATGTTCGAGGCTATATAAATAAAATTTATTTGAACTGAAAAAAGTGCAAAGTCTTCAACGTATTGAATACAGAGGTCTGCAATAAAAGTAAAAAAGCAGGATTTTGTCTTATCCATGTAACTTCAGGATTACCTGGATAAGATGCCACAGTAGCTTATGCTGCAAACTTAACCTGCTCTGGAACAGATTATGTTCAACAAGTATAAAATCACCACCTACTGGCCGATCACTTATCTTGGAAAAAGCGCCACCATTCTGTGTGTAGATAGGAGGGTCTAAAGTTTTTCACTTATTTCTGCAAACAATTTTACTTTTCTACAAGTATTAATAAAAGATCCTAAAGAGGATTATGCAGACTAAATCAGAGTCTGAAGAGGATAAAAACTTTTAAGTCATGTCTATGTTTTATATACGGCTATAGTTTCAGACCAGGGGAGGCTGCTCCAAGGCAAAGTGTAATGTAGAATTACTGTATTTAGCAGTGAATCATCCAAAGCTATTCTAGCAGAGTCCAAGAATAAAGAGTGAGCAATAAGCATATCAGGGAGTCTTTGATTAAAAAAGTAATGGCATTTATGTAAACACTCAAGCTGTCTGCATGCAAACATCACAGAGCACTGCAGAAAGCGGTTAATACATCTTTAAGGGGCCAGCTATGCATTCATATTTAGCCTCAAGTTGATAGACAGTACAGTGAAATTCGCTGGCATGTACAACCATCATCTTCTTCTTTCGGCTGCTCCCTTTAGGAGTTGCTACAGCAGATCATCTGCCTCCATCTCTCCCTATCGCTAACACACACCAACCCCCTGCACGTCCTCCTTAACCACATCCACGAATCTTCTCTGCGGGCTTCGTCTTTTCTTCCTGTCTGGCAGCTCTGTCTTCATCATCCTTCGTACGTGGCTTGTACAGCAAACACAGGCAAATCTGTTCTGGTGCCTCTCGACCAAAAATGACATCAAAAAGATTTCTAAAAATAAAGCAGCGCTTAGACACATTAGGACATCACGAGCATCATCACACTGTCCTCTGGTAGCTTTGCTTTTGTTTGGCTGAACTAGAAATGCACTCATCTTCAGGTCACTGTGATCTGAATGCCGTTAAAGCCTGGGAGCACAGTGTACTCATATTTGTTCCCTCTGAAATTTGCATCCTTTCAGACCACAGTGACGACTGAGACTGTAGGAGATGTTCATGCCTGTCTAAATAGTCAACATCATTTCCTGCCAGAGGCATTAATGCCAATTTACTGTACACTGATCTAAAAGGCATTTTGATTGCCTGAATTCCTGCTCTAATCCCTTTGGATCTTGTTGTGCCATAAAAGAAGTCTGAGCTGTGACAGAAAAATGAATTATTTAGAGATATCTACAGTGGGAGGCAGATCAGCTGCATTGTACCTGCTGACATCTTTGATCTAAGGCATTAGTGTGTCTGTCTTCACTGCAGGTCTCCATGTAATCCCTCCATTCTGAAAACCATCTCTATCACACAATGCAACACTGCTAGCTTGCTGGCATGTAATGCACTGTCTAGTTTCTTTCTTAATACTGGCTTATAGGTACTTCTACCACCAGAGGGCAGCATTGTACCCAATCCTCACATGGAACTGAAATAAGCTGTGTGTGTAACAGTGTCTATACTGTAGCCAATGCTGTCTATTTAGTCCGTGAAGTCAGGTTCTGTGACAGTACCTGACTCCACAACACATTTCCCTAAGGGGACAACAAAGTATATCGTACTATATCGGCGCCTCTGTCAGTGCGCCCCAGGGCAGCTGTGGCTACAATGTAGCTTGCCATTGCCAGTGTGTGTGAATGTGGGTGTGAATGGGTGAATGACTGAATGTAGTGTAAAGCGCTTTGGGGTCCTTAGGGACTGAGTAAAGCGCTATACAAATGCAGGCCATTTACCATTTTATATTGTAAAACAGGACATGATACTGTGTGATAGTAGATGTCCCTCTCTGAAAATGGGTGTTATAAACCCCCCAAAATACAATCTATGCTCTTTGAAACATTAATTAATGATTAGTCATCCGTTCTTGTCATACGGACTGGTTACTAAACTGACTTGTAGATCAAAATTCAGTTTGGAAACTAAGGAAATTCTCAACCCAGACAGCAGAGTGTAAAGGTATAAAGTATGAACAGTATGTCGGGGTTAAACTTGCTGTCGAGCTGAGTTAAATTTTCAGGCAGTCTGGTTATCATTTCACAACTAGTTCACCCTCATAGGATAGAACAGAATGACAGCTGGGAAAGACTCCAGCTCATCCAGAAAAGGAAAATGGATTAACAGGTTTTACCCGTGAGTGCAGGTGAGCGGTCACATTGAATTTGGTAGGTTCCTCATTCTCCAAATACCAATGAAAGGTGCTTCCTTTATTAGGATTCACTGGAGCATCTTCTATGAGAGGGAAGGAAACGGTTCCATCCCAATAATTCATATAAAATGAATGCAGTAGTTTAATGGCTTCTTTGTAAAATATTTTAAGCAGCAGCATCAGAGGGCAGCGGGCAGGCTGAGAGCAGCAGCTGTGCACAGACGGCTTCTGGAAGCCTCTCTGTGTTTGTGCTGTTCGCTCTTTTCTGTGTCCTCTCCTGTCACCACCAGCTGCTCTGACACTAAAATGCAATTAAACCTTTTCGTACAAACATCCATTGGAAACATAATGAGCTTACTCTTTTCAGAAATACTGTATAAAAGAAGAAATATTTACAGGCTGGTTCAAACTTCATGGTTTGTCCAGCAGATGGCCTCCTGCACTCATCCTGTTCACACTTTGCTGAGTTGTATTCAGAGCCTGAATTTATTAATGTTTTAAGTTGTTTTCTTTGGTGATCTCACAGATATGATGCTAGGTTACTTAAAATATGAAAATTGACAGTTTGAACACGTGTTTCATTGATCTACTAAGGTGGGTACCATAGACTCAGCTGGAATAATTCATAGATGTGTGTCCTTGGGCACCTTAACTCTTCTGTACCTTTATGAGCACCTTTATACTGCATTAGTACTTTTTAAACATTAAATAACACGGCATCACCGTCTTTAAGCATCACAGGGGGCAGGGATTGTAATGAGGGACAGAAGTATTTACACTATGCAAAACCTTTTACTTATCAATTTAACACTGTGGATATTTTCTGAGTTGAAGTACATAAAGGTGTGCCAAAATTTTTGGATTCTTGCAGTGTTTTTCACCCATTCTAACTTCATATGTGTGGGACATATCCATACGAGATCTTGAGGGCTGAAAAACACATTTAAATTCTGTTAAAAACTACAGCCAAAACAATTTCACACACACTCCCAAGCATCACAATCTAAAGCCAAAGTCTTTAAAGGTTTTGTGCAGCACAGTTTTTTTTCTTGTGACCAAGTTTGAGTATCAGTATGATGGGATACATACCATAGTTTTGCACAGTTAGCCTTACAACAAGCACAGCATGGGTTTGGGTCTTTTTATGTGCAGTTTTCATGTTCACCCTTGTCACTGAGGTTTCCTCTTACAGTCCAAAGACATGCTTGTGGTCAGGTTAAATGTCAGTTCTAAAGGTGTGGTTGGGATGTAAATGGTTGTCTGTCTTTATGTGTTAGTCATGCAGCAGACTGGTGATTGGGTGTACCCTGTCTCTCTCCTTGACTGCTGGAATAGGCTTGAGCCCCTCCATAACTACTGAACTGCATGAGAGGTTGGAAACCATAGTTTCAATAAACT